GTCTGCCAGGTAACGGCCCCTTCTCCCCTCCAACACACCCTGGGAACAAGGATGTCTGTAGCATACATCACTGGGAAACACTGAAGTGTTCAGTGGTTGGTGTTGGTGGGGGACCAGGGATGGCAAGGGCACATCCCAGTGTCATGCTGAGCCAATGAGGTCGCTTAAGGGGGGCTGGGAGCTGTCAACATGACCAGGGCAGCTCTTAAGGCACCTATTTGGAATTATCATAAAAATAAAAGGGGGCTGACGCCGCGGTTCAATAGGCTAATCCTCCACCTGCGGCGGAGTTCTAGTCCCGGTTGGGGCGCCGGATTCTGTCCCAGTTGCCCCTCTTCCAGGCCAGCTCTCTGCTGTGGCCTGGGAATGCAGTGGAGGATGGTCAAAGTGCTTGGGCCCTGCACCCCATGGGAGACCAGAAGCACCTGGCTCCTGGTTTCGGATCAGCACGGTGCGCCGGCCACAATGGCAACATTGGAGGGTGAACCAACGGCAAAAGGAAGACCTGTCTCTCTCACTGTCCACTCTGCCTGTCAAAAAATAAATAAATAAAAGGGAAGGGACCGGCGCTGTGGCGTGGCAAGTGAAGTCACTGCCTGCAGTGCCGGCATCCCATATGGGTGCTGGTTTGAGTCCTGGCTGCTCCACTTACTCCAATCCAGCTCTCTGCTGTAGTCTGGGAATGCAGTAGAAGACGGCCCAAATCCTTAGGCCCCTGCACCCCCATGGGAGACCCAGAAGTTCCTGGCTCCTGGCTTTGGATAGGCTCAGCTCCAGCCATTGCGGCCAACTGGGGAGTAAACCAGCTCACGCTCTCTGCCTCTCGTTCTCTGTGTGGCTCTGATTCTCAAATAAATACATTTTTAAAAGGGGGGGAGGGGAAAAGGGCAAGTGTGCATCTCAATGTATACTGTGTGCATTCGCTATGGTAACAAGGAGGCGGGGAGGAGCAGGTGTCTCTGACTCAGTACAAGAGGTTGCTGGGAGATGCTGCCTGCCAGACACCCCTGATCTGCCACACCCTCCTCCTAATGACTAATCCTCATGGCAGCTCTGGGAGGGAGCTACCTGGTTTACCCAAGCAGAAATCAGTCAACAAACGGCAGAGCTAGGACTCAAACCCCAGAGATCTTGCCTCCAAAATCCTTGCTCTGGAGCACGATGCCTCACTGGCTTGGGGCAGGGGAATAGGGTGGCTGTGTGACAGGGATTTAGAAGAACAGGTAGGTATCTACAATTTTGTTTTATCTGAATTTTTTGTTGGGTATAAATTTAATGTTAAAAATAAGGCATATGTTCAAAGTATCTAGCTGGACAAATTCATTGAGAAAGACTGGGTTAAGGAGAGACAGTTCAGTATACACAGGAGCAAACCAGCAGGTGCACTGCTCCCAGCTCCAGAAAGCAGAAGCAAAGAAAGCTTTCTGGGATGACACGGCCCTGTCCCTGTGGCAAAGTCAGCACGAGAGCAGAAAGGCTGAGGAATCTGGAGTAGATTGTGCTCCCACTTGCTTCTGGCTGTGACTACAAGCCACTCAAGGGGCTGGCCTAACCTAGAGATGAGCCAACACTGGAGCCATATGGGCACCAGCTCTAGTCCTGGCAGCTCTCTGCTATGGCCTGGGAAAGCAGAAGATGGTCTAAGTGCTTGGGCCTCTGAACCCGAGTGAGAGAAGCACCTGGCTCCTAACTTCGGATCAGCGCAGCTCCGGCCGCTGTGGCCATTTGGGGAGTGACCCAATGGAAGCAAGACCTTTCTGTCTCTCCCTGTCACTGTAACTCTAGCTCTCAAATCAAAACAAAAAACAAAACACTGGAGCCTGCAGACTGGTACAGATTATTTCCCATTTTCAAACAATGTGTTGTCTTCCTTTGGGAAGAAAGGCCCTGAGAGTTTATCAATAAGCCCGAAGACAACAAATTCTGTGGATAGATTTTAAACTGAGGAAGTCTTGCTGGGGCAGGCACTAAGTGTAGCAGTAAAGACACATGGTAACAGATGCTGAAGCCCACATCAGAACGCCTGGCTAATACTCAGCTCTGACCCCGTCACTCCCGCGTAACCTGGGCTGCATTTTGGCAGGTTTCTCTTCTGGTACCGGTCTTTGAGACTGAATGAACTAGTGGATGGGAGCTAGCACTCTCACAAAAAACAAAAAACCTGCTCCTCAACTGCTAGAAGGGAATGTTCTTCCCATCAGAAAAGTAGCTGGGGCCGGTATTGTGGTGCAGAGGGTTATGCCAGTCTGCAACGCCAGCATCCATATCAGAGCATGGTTTCCAGTCCCTGCTGCTCTGCTTCCCACCCAGCTCCCTGCTAATGCACCAGGGAAAGCTGCTGGACGCCTCTATGGGAAACCCAGTGCGGTTCTAGGTTCCTGCTTCTGCTTGCATCAGCCCCATTACAGTCATTTGGGGAGTGTCCACTAACAAATTCTCTCCCTCTCACACTGCCTTCAAATAATATAAATCTTACAAAACAGGATAGTAGTCAGAGACCAAGCATATTACTCCTAGTCAGTGGAGCAGTTTTCCTAACATTAGTCCCCAAAACCGGCTACTAGTCATACCATTTAGTAAATGAAACTCAGTCAGGGTAAGTTAGACATCAGCTATGAACAAGAAGCTGAAACTCAAAAACACTGAAGTTTACAAATACGGCGGTGAGGGCCTGCACTGTGGCAGAGCTGGTGGAGCTGCTGCTTGAGAAGCCAGCACTCAGTATCAGACCACAGGTTCCAGTCCTGGGGGCTCTACTTCTGACCCCACTCCCTGCTAATGTGCCTAGGAAGGCAGAGAAGATGGCCCAAACACCTGGGCCCTTGCCATCCACGTAGGAGTCCTGGATGGACCCCGGCTGTTGCAGCCATTTGGGGACTGAACTAGTAGATGGAAGATCTCTGATGCTCTTTCAAATAAAGTAAATCTTTAAACACACATGGGCACGCACAGTGATTAGCATTCACCTCCTGTGGGTGCAGAGCCACTTACGTTACTCCCTACTGCAATTCTCACACAGTATTAGTGTAAAGAAAGGGAGAATCCAGAGCATTAAACAACCCTCTATTCTTCTGGTCACTGCAAGTCTTATCATAGTCATCTGAAACCAAGATTTCTAGATTTCAACCAAAAATGATGCAGATGTGGGGCATGCAAGCTAGTGCCAAATTATGCCAACAGGTAAATTTGTGTGTGGTTAGTCTGAATTCTGCCAGACACTAACAAGCCTTGAAGTTGTCTGGCAGAGTCACAATGGTCCATTCAACTCAGGTACCCTCCAGCCGCTAAAGCCGTCAGCACTTAGGAAACACAGCTCCAACGGTTCTGCACCAAGCTTCCTCCCCATGACCAAATGCTTGTGTATCCTCCACTTTCTGATGAGGGTAGGGAAGGGGAGGCGGGAGTGACTATTATGGCAAATAAAGTAATTCCACGCATGAAAATATCTTCTAATTTATACTTTATTGCATTATGAAAATAATACATTTATTTGGCAAAGTAATCTAGACTCCAAGTTGAAATAAAATTCTGAAGTGTACTGATTATTTAATTTTTTAAACGTGAAATAGATGTACTCTAACCAATACATTACTTGCATTCTTATAAGTAGGCCAATAACCCAGTAAACCTAATTGTAATAATTCCATATGAAATTACAGATGTTTTTGCATTCAACCATTTTATGATCAGCACGTGTCTCAAGAGAACTGATCTTCATGTCATCCAAATCAACGTACTTAAGAAACTCCTGTTCAGAAAAAAACAGTTTGAACTACCCCAAATTTTTATTTCCTTTGGTTCTACAAGTTGCATTTTCATCCTTACCACAAGTTACAGTTTTTCACAAACATTGTAGCAGCTTTAGATTCTGCCCAAGTACCTTTGTAAGTAAGCTAGTATATTACATTTACATTATTTGAAAAATTGCTGATTTTACAAATGCAAAAATGCATAAATACATGCCTATCTACACTGGCAAAATAAACTACTCTGAACCTCACTGGTTTGAGAGGCCACATCTTCTGGCCCATGGCTGCTGGGACACCTCCCCAAGCCGAAGGACCCTAACGGCCCCCCAAGTGGCAATTCGGTGCTCCAGGTACACTTGACAGGTGTAGTTATATGACAAACCCTAGGTGGATTAAATCTAATAATCAACATTTAAAATAGGACATGTTCACTACATATTTCTGTTCTGCTACAACTTTAGAAATGAACTGGATTCTTCAAAAATGTATGAGGCGGTTTTCACTTTTATAAGAGAGAAAAGTGCTAAAAACATATTACATATATACTCACTTTCCTCATTAGCATCTTCCAATTCCTGTGACATGTTAGATTCAGAGTCTATGGTAACTGCAAACAATCTGTTCAAGATCAAAAATAAACGTGTCTTTAATCACCAAGGTCTTGATTCTTCACTTTAATCTTTTAATAGGACTTTGCTTGGTGTCTATTAAGAAAATGTGCCTAAAATTAGCCTTTTTAAAATTCACAAGTGAATTGGAACTGACAATTTCATCAAGCAAGTCTGTGTTAAGTGCACCTATGCATACCTGCAGAAATTTACTTCAAATGGCCATCAGTACCTAAAGCCAGCTGAACAAGGTTTCCCGATTTAACTACAGAAGTATTCCACCTATCCTAAAGATATTCCATTAGCATTCTACAATTATCTGTATAAACAGCAACAACTTTGATCTATGATCAACATGAATATCTAATAAATATTAAAACTATTAAACTATAGAGTAAAATGCAGGATTTCTCATAGAGTTAAGTGATGCCATTTTGGTACATTCACCATTATTGTACTTTATTTAATAAAGAAATACATTTGCCCTTGCAAAAAGAGTTAATTGCAAGTTTACAAATAAAACCACAGACCTCAAAAGTCGTGATGTTAAATCTTCAACTAATAACCAACAAAAAAGTAAATCGACTTGTTTACAAATGGTCCATGGCACAATTAAAATAAAAAATATCAAAAGGTCACAGGATCTTAAAGAATAGGTTTATTGACAATAATCTCATAAATAGTCTAAAGAAAATTTCAAGAATTTCTAAACTTAAAATGTTTAAAATTTGTTCTCATTGGCAAAATATCCCTTGATAAAATTAATAGGTCACTACAAATGAATGTCACATTTAGAGTTAGCTTCATCTTAACATTTTTTGCAAAAAATTTTTGAAAAATCTACATTTTTTCTTCCCTCTTGAGTACAGCGACTCATTATTCAGTTTTTATTTCAACTATAAGACATATTCATAAATATATTATCTAGCTGCTGTGAATTTGACAGTCAAGTTAATCAGTAGTATATTATCCTACAAACTTTCACGGAGCCAAATCATTCTGGTAATTTTAGTCATAGCAATTTTAGTTGATTAAACGCAAAATTTTGTGGTTTCCCTCCAAACGGCCCAAAAGCATATGATATAGTGTCAGGAATTATTTGCATCAGTTTTATAAGTTTATCTGTGTACTTCAGGTATCTGAAACTAAAAAAGGTGTTCTCTTATATTTTGATAAAAATGTACTCCAATATTTCATAACATTAATATTTATTGCTTTATATGAATACTGTATTGAAAGCCCAAGCCAAGTTTACACACAGAAATTATACAATTATATACCGCTTCACAAAGGCAGTGAACACATTACATTCTACAAAATCTACTTTACAGAAATTTAAAAATTCTAATATCAAAAAGTACAGCTGAGGAAACAGGTATAAATTTGGCAGCCAGTAATTTTGACAGGGAAGTTGCAGCTCACATGACTTTAAATATGTGAATTTGAAAATATTGAGTTTAGAGTAATCATTGTGCTTTGTGTTGATTTGAAAAATATAACACTGGCTGTCGAAGAAGCATGTTCAAAAATATTTAATTCACTTCAAAATGTCATACAAATTATGGTGGTTTCTATGCACCTCTAACGCCTCAATTAGCTCAGGTACATTACTAAAGCAATATATTAATTCTTCCAGTACAGTGGTGTTTCATACCATCGACATTTGCATACTCTAGAATAATTTAGAAAGAAATGCGTAATATTCACAATGTTCAGAAAAGCAAGCAAAAAGTCAAGGAACCTGCCTGGTTCTTTGAGATGGTCTCATGTCAGCTTCAGAAGCATTCGTTCTACAACATAGTAAGCTACTGTTGGAACACAATTTCCAAGATAAGTACATCTTCTCATAAATAACCATGTGTTTTTCTCAGGCACCTTAGAAGTATACAAAAAACTTCAAATCTCTTGGAATGTGTTTAACCTGGTATTTCAACAGACAAGATTTCCAGGGTTTCACAAGGGCCAGATTTTATTTGAATTACTCAGAAGAGAAAGAAAATGTCTTCTGAAAGAGGTGAACTCAATCATTACCAATAGAAAAAGTATCCACTGTATTCATCTCTTATAGAAACAGAAAAATATAACATTTCCCCCCTTAGAATAATATATATGTATATATATGTATTTATATATATATGTATATATGACTTAAAGTTCCATTGTACACAGTCAAACAATAAAATCTGGAAACCAGCATGAAACCCTACAATTCACGTTAAAATATTGAAACTATGACCAAAACAGGAAAACTGCTAGGGCTGTCAAGAGACAAGACAAAAAGCTTTCTTGCATATGTATAAACTAAATGTGATAATCTCAAAAAAGTTTTCAAAATTATAATTATTACCTTCCAGTTTAAAACCTTTAATCCTAAATTAAAAAAAAGAAATCTATACACAAACCACTGATTTGACCAGACCAAAAAAACAGTGAGCGGTAAGCAGGACCCAGAGGAGCTGATATTCACAGTTCTTACATGTACAACTCTTTCAGGATTTAAAGTACTTTACAACCTGTTTCTCTTGTAAAACTACAGGTCCACTTTATCACATAAAAGTTTTATACAGTGTAAAACCAGAACTGTATGTAAAATACTGCATCTATGTGTTTCTAAACAGTCAGTCCTGCTCCATTGGCTCCTCTGGGACTTCTGAGGCTTCATCATCATTTTCCATGGATGACTCTGACAGAATCTCTCCAGGTTCACTGGAGCTGGATCCTTCTAATTCTTCTGTTTCATGGCAGTTAGAACCATTACTTACAGGGCCTGTATTTCCACTACCTTCAGAATGTAAATCTTTCTCCGCTTGAGACACATCGGAATCCTCCATTTGATTATTTTCCTCAGAAGTCTCTTCATTCACAGTTAAGGCATCATCAGATTCTTTATCTTGATTTTTTCTTTCTGGGATCATTTCTCTTGATGTCATAAAAGACTCTAAAAATAAGCAAACGTTGTTGTAGTTAAATTTGATTTTCCAAACATCTCCACAGTTAAGTTTCATGAATTCTGATATTCTACAGTTCCAATCATATCCCCTGAAAACTCAGCTGCAACTACACACAGGTGGGAGACAAGCCCAGCATCAGCATAGTAAGGCGTTCCACTATGTTAAATTGTTTCGGGGAAAAAAAGGATAATAAGCATGTGAGATCTCCTTACTCCACCCTTTTACAGATGGTCTCTAAATACCTTCTTCCTCCTCTTCCTCCTCTTCTTCCTCGTCTTCTGCACAGTGCTGCCTGGCAGTGTGGCTTTCTTTGTCTTTACCCTGAGGTGAAGACAGGGCTTCTGCGTCTTCTGCCAGAACTGAAGAACTCTCACTGGAAGCTGTCTGCCCGGCCGCTTCTCTCACTTCCCCTTCTTTGTCAAACCTGAGTCTTTTTACTTCGTGGCCCTCCGCTTCTACGGCGTCTTCATCTGGGTGTTTATTTTTTATGGGGCTCACTGAGGAGACTTCTGATTCAGATGCCAGCGAGTCACTGTAAATTTTTTAAAGTGTCATTAATAAGATTATCTTCCCTATCTACATTCTAATTTTTAAGGTCTAATAATTTTTTGTCTTTTAATATGAAATTTAAATTATAGCATGTACACAAAGAAAAACACGTGATTAATGTCAAGTCAACCTAAAATGTTTCATGATTATTTCTCATTAGGACGTAACCAGCAAACTAAATGACCTTTCTGAACAGTTCTCTAGGTAAGTCTGTAAATATTCCTCCATAATACACTCTGAGTCTTCTAATTTAGTCATTTTTCCCTTAATGTGATGCAGAAATCCTGATATAAGAAGTTTTCTTTTCATCTTATTTGCAAAGATGTTTTCTCAAGTAACTTTCAAAAACAAAAATCTGCATGGTGTCTTCAGCTCCTAAGGATCCTTTACTACAAACACTCTCCCAAAGCTAGCAGGTGGATGTCTGCTCTAGGGCCCCTTCAGCACAAGCAAATGTGCCAACAGTAGCCTTCACTCTAGAACCACAGGGTCACCTGGCTCTGCCTCTCAGAGCCAACAGAGCAGGTATCTCTCGTGCCTGTGGGAGACTGCTGCCAGGACCTGAAGGTACTGAAATCTACAGCTGCTCTGATCTCTCACTACATAAAATGCAGTCTCTGCCATGTCATACACACATACTCGAATCTCTAAGAGTTTACACAAAGAGATGTTGCATGTATTGTTTAGGGAATAAGGCTAAGAAAATGTCTACATGTTTACTACAATTTTCTTCCCAGTACTTTTCACAGGAGGATGACTGAATGCACAGATTTGAACAACCCTTGGACACAGAGGGCTGACTACACATTGCAAATAATAAGTAACAAGTGCTAAAAACCATTCATAATTATGTTAATGTTTTATAAAACATTTTTTTTAAATAGAAATCCCATACAAACCTGTGGTTTTTCTCTTCATTTTGCTGTAAGTTTGACTCTTTACTGTCTGGACTCTCAGGCAAACCATTTGTTGTCATTGGAACCGACAAAGAAACCTTTGGTCGATTAAGTGGCCTGGGCGTCCCAGGCCCATTTATATTAGACCTGTAATAAGATAAATAAAATCTCATTTTCTATTTCTTAAAGAAACCTTCTCTTCTAGGAGCTGCTTACAAGAACATGTCACAGAAGTATTTGTTGCAATTATACTTTCAGATCCATGCCTCGCTGAATTAACTGATTCCATGCAGTACATCCTCAACCCTTCACAAACCAGCCATTTTGAAAAATGAACAGGAAGTGGTGCTGTGACATAGCAGGTAAAAGCCACCACCTGCAATGCCGGCATCCCATAGGGGCACTGGTTTGAGTCCCAGCTGTTCCACTTCCGATCCAGCTCTCTGTTATGGCCTGGGAAAGCAGTAGAAAAAGGCCCAAGGCCTTGAATCCCTGCACCTGCATGGGAGACCCGGAAGAAGCTCCTGGCTTCGGATGGGGTCAGCTCCGGCCATTGAGGCCAACTGGGAGTGAGTCAGCGGATGGAAGACCTCTCTCCCTCTGCCTCTCTGTAACTCTGCCTTTCAAATAAATAATCAAGAAAGAAAGAAAGAAAGAGAGAGAGAGAAAGAGAAAGAGAGAGAGAGAGAGAGAGAGAGAGAGAGAGAGAGAGAGAGAAAGAGAAAGGAGAGAAAGAAAGGAGAGAGAAAGAGAGAGAGAAAGACAGAAAGAGAAAGAGAGAGAAAGAGAAAGAGAAAGAAAAAGAAAGAGAGAAAGAAAGAAAGAGAGGAAGAGAGAGAGAGAAAGAAAGAGAAAGAGAAAAAGAGAGAGAGAGAAATTAATTAATTAATTAATTAATTGTACATGGAGCCTGCTACTCAAAACCAGGAAAATGCAGACTCTTTGGATATTAAAAATCAATCACACCTGTCAGTATAGCTTGGTGAATTTCCAGGAAACATAACACCATTCATTCTATTTAAACTATTAGAACTGGTTTTCCTGTAAAAAAAGAAAATAGTGTTATAAGAATCATGGATCTACAGGAGCTTTTCAAGAAACTCACTGTCACATATCCAAACAAAATGATTTCTCTGAGAATTAAAATAGGCATACACTATGGGCAAAGGAGAAAAGTCTGTTACTAATCATTATGATATTGCCCTTCTTTTGTCATTTTTTCCAGAATATCTCACATTCATCAGCAAAACATTACTTTAGCTTATAAATGAAAGCAATTCTTATTGTATGTTTTTAAAAATATTTTTTTCTGCAAAGAAGCAGGAGACTATCTGAGCATCTCATTTAACACTGGGAGTATACTCATGAGAATTCTAAAAGCTAAGTCACTGTTATTTTCTATGAAAGTGGAAGCAGCTTAACTTTAAAACAAAGAGTTCTCAACAGGGGCGGAGGCCAATCCCTTCTCCCTGCCTTTCATACTTCCAGAGGGCACTGGGCAATATGAAGCTACATGAAAGGGAACAGCCCTGGCATCAGTGGGCTAAATCCTAGAGACATTGCTAATCTTCCCATAATTCCCAGTACATCCATCCTCAACAAAGAATTCTCCACCCTGAATATTAGTCCCAAGGTTTAGAAAATGTGCCCTAAACTTAGTTTTACTTTGCTATATAAATTATGACAAGTGGAAATACTTTTCCAGCATGAAGAGGAATGGCAGCAAGCGGCTATTCCAAACCTGAATTATGCTATGGAGATGCCCTGAAAGGCTTCTAGGATGGCATCTCGGTGCTTTGAGGGCCACAATGCTAAACCATGTCCAAGTCTTAGAATTACAGTTAACCACTAGTCTCTTTACTAGAAAGATACACAGGCAGTGTTATTGATAAAACATTCTACTTTGGGGACTGGGTGGCACATTCAAAGCATTCATAAACATAATTATTCTTAATTACATATAAAATAAATACAACCTATTTAAAAATAATATATTAGACTACAACAATTAAACAATATACTAGGAACAGAAAAAAATCTGTACTTACTCTGAAGAAGGATAAACACAGCTAACAACCATCACATTCTGCAATAACAAAAATTAGTTATTTAATATGAGGAAAATTACTACTAAAGTTTAATTTCTTAAAATTATCCTGGTGGGTTAAGTTTCCAACTATTCCAATTTTGCTAATAACACAAAATAAATGGTTAAAAATGAAAACTGACTAAACAAAACTGTGACAAAATATTAAAAGAGAACAGAAATATCCTAAGCCATTCACTTTGTTGCTAGTCTGTTTTCTCACCTTCTGTGAGTTAACAGAAGTTATTCTTCTTAAGTTATTCTGGAACTCTGGCATCATGTACTATATGTAACAGAGTAGAATTATGTGCTCTTGTTTTAGATGGAATCACCCAAAGATGTTTAAAAACTGAAGTACTTAGGCCAATTATAATGATTTTCCTTATAAAATACCCAAACCAGAGCTTGTATGGCACCACACCCAAGGAAAAAGACTCAAACCTTTCTCTGCAATATAATTGATTATTGTAGGTAATAATAATACAAGTGACCATAGGCAATATTCAGTGAAAGTTTAGTATGAGTCAGAGTCTATGTGCTTAGCACCAATGTCACAGAGCAAAGTTAAGAGTTAAAAAACTAACATTTAAGTAACTGGCCCAACTATGAAGCACCATAGCCTGAATTTGAAGGCAGGGTTCCTGGTACAACTAATGTGACAGTGATCTTCATCCCCTGGATTGTGTTCCCCAAACCCAACTCCAGCCCTGGCTCAAATTTGGCCACTGCAGGCATTTGGGAATGAATCAGCAAATGGGAGCTTGCTCACTCCGTCTTTGCCTCTCAAATAAACTAGCCTTGGCTCCAACTGTTATGGGCATTTAGGGAGTGAATCAGTAAATGGAAGATCTCTTTTCTCTGTCTTTTGCCCTCTCTCTGTCACTCTTTCCAGTAAATAATCAATCTTAAAAATCAAGAAGTCCTTGAGGTGAAAATTAAGTACTGATGAACATAAGTTTCCTGCACTGTGTGAATCTTAACTGACAGCATAAAGGCTCAATAAAACATACTCCTATTAATCCAGTAAAACCCTAAGAACTGTTGTAAATCACTGTGCGGTGGCTTTTGATCCCTATTTCCTGGAATAAAACTAAGTGATTTTTGCATCAGAACCTCAAAATCAATACTGGACTAGGTTTCAGGATCAATCATCAACTGAGATTCAGTAACTCACCGGCCCATTCTGGTTCCCAAAGGGCCCTTCATTTATTCTTTCCATTTCTTCATCAAGGTGTTTTCTTTGTTCAGAATGTCCTCTCCTTGTTATTAACACCCACTCACCCACGAAAAATCTGACCTGCATCTTTCTACATAATATCTAATTTAAATGGTATACACTGGCAAGTTTCCAAAGTTATATACTCCAGAACTGAGGAAGTGCATTCCACAGGTAAATGTATTTGTAAAACATGCTGAGTTAAAATACCAACCTCTCAGAATCTTTAGTATACTTATAGTATATACTATTAAATAATACCTGGGGCCAGCACTGTGGCACAGCAGGTTAACACCCTGGCCTGAAGCACAGGCATCCCATATGGGCGACGGTTCGAGACCTGGCTGCTCCACTTCCTATCCAACTCTCTGCTGTGGCCTGGCAAAGCAGTGGAAGATGGCCCAAGTCCTTGGGCCCCTGCACCCGAATGGGAGACCCGGAAGAAGCTCCTGGCTCCTGATCAGCTCAGCTCCGGCTGTTGCGGCCAACTGGATGGAAGATCTCTTTCTCTCTCTCTTTCTCTCTCTCTCTCTCTCTCTCTCTCTGTGTAACTCTGACTTTTGCAGCAGCCATCTGGGGAGTGGACCAGCAGATGGAAGACACAAGTCTCTCTCTCCCTCTTTAACTCTGCCTTTCAAGTAAATAAATAAATCCTTGAAAAAAAATTTTTAAGAAGAGCTAAAAAGAGAATTTTTCTTTTTGGGAAAAAGTGCCTCAAATATTAGTGTACTTTCATGAAATGCTATTAGTTCTAAAATCTGTATCGTTTAATGTAATTCCCATAATAATATAAATACCTTTTCTACTCCTCTGAGAAATTTGTCTGTTCCTGTATAGTTTCTTCTTGGATCTGTTAGCAATTCACATAGTCGCTGAATAGTAAAAGGGATACTGCAAAAGAATACAATTTCATAGTTTGAGGTCATTAATTACCAAAAGAATTAGAAACATTATTTCTTTTGCTAATGAAAGCTTTATCTAGTCACCCATGTGTAATGCTACAAAAGAGAAAAGGATAAGTCATTCAAAAAGACAATAAGCATACCTTTTTATTTAACAAAACAACTCTCCCTTCCTTACTTTAAAAAGTAATAAAAAGGAGCATTCAAAATTAACAAAATACTTTAAAACTGGGTGAAAGAAATCTGAACATTCTAATTCTGATAATTCAATTTTAAGTTTTCAAGAAAGGCAACAAATTAAATGATCAAGTTAGAGCTTATCAACACACAGACTTTTTCTCAAGTGTTCTCCTGTACAAAGATTTCTTTGAAGTGTTCGAATGACCACGAATGATTTTTGTTACTGGATGGAATAAGACAAATTACTCCAATAAAGAAGTATCTTAAATATGATTCTGCTCTGTTAGTAATAATTTTCCTATACAAACCACATATTTAATCAATCTTAAAATACAGAAAACCGTACTCAACATTTTGGTAAAATTCCTGTTAACTTTGCCAAATACTTTCACCACAATTCATGTTCACTTCACAACAGTAAATAGAAAACTGAGCTGGGTTGGAATTAAAATCATTTCATAAATAAATAAAAGGTTTGAGCTCATACAACTATTAGCATTCATCAGAATTACCAACTGAAGAGCAAAGTTAGGAGCATTAGCTATGACAAATGAAGCTAAACAATACAGATATAAATCTTCAGAGTTCAGTGTTTGCCCTACAAATATGCTTATTCTCCTTATGAAAAGAATTAGGGGCTGGTGCTGTGGTGCAGCGGGTTAAAACCCTGGCTGCTCCTCTTCCTATCCAGCTCTCTGCTATGGCCTGAGAAAGCAGTGGAGGACGGCCCAAGTCTTTGGGTCCCTTGAGCCCCGTGGGCTCCTGTAAAGAGCTCCTGGCTCCTGGCTTCGGATTGGAGCGGCTCCAGCCCTTGCAGCCATTTGGGGAGTGAACTATCGGATGGAAGACCTCTCTCTGTCTCTACCTCTCTCTGTAACTCTTTCAAATAAATAAAATAAATCTCTAAAAAGAATTAGAAGCCCTAAAATAGTTAACATTCACAACATTCTTCAGTTTCCATAGGCAGTTTGACACAATATCCTCTCCAGCAAGGTAAAGCAGCTAGTAAATAATAATGCCAGACTCAAATTCAGGTTCTGTAACTTCAAATCCCATATCTTTCACAATGTACCACATTTAAGATTGTAGTTTTTTTAAGGTGGATAAATTACATGTTATTTTCATATTCTTAGCATCAATACTATTCTTATGTTCTTATAATAAAAGTCAGTATAAGATTTATATAGGTGCCAGCACTGTGGTGCAGTGGGTTAAGCCACCACTTGCAGAGTAGGCATCCCATATGGGTGCCAGATGGGAGTCCAGGTTGCTCCACTTGTGATCCAGCTCCTTGCTAATGGTGTGGGAAAGCAGCAGGGGCTGTGTTTGGGTCCCTGCATACACATGGGGGACCAGATGAAACTCAGGGCTAGGGTTTCAGCCTGGCCCAGCACTGTAAGTTGCAGCCACCTGGGGAGTGAACCAGCAGGTGGAAGATCGATCTATCTCTCCCTCCCTCCCTCTCCCTTCCTCTTTGTAACTTTGCCTTTCAAATAAATAAATCTTTAAAAATATTTACAACAAATTTAGGAAATGTATAAAGTAAATGTTATTTGTGTGAAAACATTTTAGTTGTCTATCAACAAGAATTAATCTTTTCTCAATCAGCACTCAAATCCAAAGGTGAGAAAACTATTCCTCTGTCAAATGCCATGGCACAAGAGAGGAAATGTCTGCCTAATATCAAAACTATTCAGAAGCAACAAGACAGAACTTCTTGGACGTTCATCATGACTGGGAAATCCCTTTGTATTTTTGAGAAAGAACATTCTTTTCCACATTTTTGAATCTACTTAAGACTGCTTTCAAAACTAAGGGTATTTTGAAATGAATAAAAACAAAGCTCACTAACATCATGACTAACAATGAACTAGTAAACTTACATATCTCTTTTTTGTCCATTTATATGAATACAACACATACTTGGAAACCTACAGCTATTACACAGAAAATTATTAACAAATTAACAAGGATTTTTTTACATCATCTTCCAAAGCTAACACATAACTAGTTTCTTAAATATCTGTCCCTTCTTACATTTGAATGAAAATTTCTTAAAGGACAGGACTTCTTCACATGTATTATGCTCAACATACCATCTGCATACACACAGGGGGCTTTACAAAATTCATGGAAAAGGTAGAATTAACAGATAAAGTACTAGGGCCAGCGTTGTGGCACAGCAGGTTATACTGCTGTCTTCGACACAAGCATCCCATATGGACACCAGTTCAATGTCCCAGTTGCTCTGCTTCTGATCCAGCTCCCTACTAATGTGCCTGGGAAACCCAGAAGGATGGCCAAATTGCTTGAGCCCCTGCACCTATATGGGAGACCCAGATAAAGCTCCTGGCTTTGGCCTGACTCAGCACTGGCCATTGTAGTCATTTGGGGAATGAACTAGCAGGTGGACAACCTTTCTCTTTCCCTTTTCAATAAATGAATAAATCTTAAACAGGGGGTGGGAGGAGAGAACACACAGGGTACGCATTTGGTCAAGTGGTTAAGCTATTGGGTTAGCCTGTCGGCATTCCATGTAAGAAGGCCTAGATTTAATGTCCAGCACCACCTGATTCCAGCTTCCAGACCGAGTTCCTGGTTACTGGCTTTGTCCTAGCACAGGCTTTGTCCCAGGCACTGTGAACTCTTGGGGACTGGCCCAGCAGATGGGAACTCTTTCTATCTCTCAACAAAATAAATTTCTAAAGAACTTTAAGATAACACAGCTTCCATAAACGTTTTTGAAGCCCCCTGGATGTATCTGAAATGCAGTGCTACGATGAATTTAAAAATCTGAGAGGTATATCAGTCCCTCAGGCCAACTTCTATCTCATTGTTCTCCAGATCTTACACACATCATCATCACCACCACCACCACCACCACCATACCTAAGCTCATTAACTACCTCAGAACGACACAACAGTTGAAACAGTTTATACATTATTTAAAATGGTACCAAACGTTTGGGTATTCAAACAGTACTCAACAGAAAAACATTTAAATAGTTATCATTCAACTGTACTTTTTTACCCAACTAAAATTCTTTCTTACACCAAACTCTAGTGTTTTCTCTTAAAATTTTAACATATAAATATTTTAAACTTTCTGTCCTAATTTTACTTAAGGGTGGAAGTAAAACTGTAATCGGTTATTAACATTTTATATATTGGTGACATTAATACTGCTTCTACCAGGGAATAAAGTATGTTTAAGTATCAATGTCAGCAGCAACAGACCATGATAAAATCAGTTTACTTTCTTAAGGCATTCTCAGAAGCTTTTAGTTATTTTAGCATGTATCCACTAGATGGCAATAAAATGCCATACAACTCTTGCTTCCTCACAGGAGCAATGAAAATACAAACACTTCTTATATATCAAAGTACACACTGATAGTAGTAACTTTGACAACAGCACTGAAAGGTCTCATTACATAAAGTTTATATTTTTAACCTGTCCCACAAACATAAGGACATAAACTATAGCCACGCATGCTCTGCAGCAAACAGACATGGAAATAATTAAAACCTAGAATAAACACTTATCGTGTATGTAGTGCCATGAAGACAGAATAAATTGTATGGCAGGCAAGTAAACCTGAATATGGAAACACTTAATTTGAAATAGGGCTTTAGGCCAGCGCCGTGGCTCACTAGGCTAATCCTCTGCCTTGCGGCGCCGGCACACCGGGTTCTAGTCCCGGTCGGGGCGCCGGATTCTGTCCCGGTTGCCCCTCTTCCAGGCTAGCTCTCTGCTGTGGCCCGGGTGTGCAGTGGAGGATGGCCCAAGTGCTTGGGCCCTGCACCTGCATGGGAGACCAGGAGAAGCACCTGGCTCCTGGCTTCAGATCAGTGCGAACGTGCCAGCCGCGGTGGCCACTGGAGGGTGAACTAACGGCAGAGGAAGACCTTTCTCTCTGTCTCTCTCTCTCACTGTCCACTCTGCCTGTCAAAAAAAAAAAAAAAAAAGGAAGGAAGGAACAAAAAATTCAGAGATGAACTACAAGAGAATAAAACCAAAGTATTACTCTGCCTAAAAATATTTCATGGGACAGGCATTGTGGTCCAGTGTGTTAAGCTGCTACTTGAGTTGCCAGTATCCCATATCAGAGTGCAGTTGGGGTCTTGGCTGCTCCGCTTCCAATCCAGCTTCCTGATAATGCTCCTGGAGGCAGCAGATGAAGGCCCATTAACTGGGTTCCTGCCATCTGGCTTCAGGCTGGTACAGCTGCCAGCTGTTGTGGATCTTTGGGCAGTGAATCAATAGACTCTCTTTGCCTTTCAAGCACATGACAATAAAGTTTTGTTTTGTTTTGTATTTTGAGCATAGCAGCCAGGAGGGGGGTTCTAAGAGAGGCAGACCAAAAAACATTTTTTTTTTTAAATTCCAAAGGCAGCAATGAAACCTAATAAAATAGGATCACACATTTTTTCATTAGGAATTTTATTTGTAATGTAATCTGTCCCCATTTATTATTAAAAACTGAAAACAAGATACTCAGTCTTATATACCTAAAAAGCTCTGGAAATTTAAATACCAAGAAAGTTGCTAAACATCAAAGACATGTAAGCAGGAAGGTCATTCACAGTTAGGCGCTGTTGCACAGCAGGTTAAGTCACCACCTGAGAAGCCCACATCCCATATCCCAGATACTCCACACTTTGGATACAGCTTCCTGATAGCGTACATGGGAGGCAGCAGATGATATTCCAAGTACCTAGGTTCCTGCCATTCACACGGGATAGCCAGATGGAATTTGAGGAACCAACAGATGGAAGATCAGTATCTCTGTCTCAAATAAAATAAGT